GGGCGATTTTACCGGAAAATTTCTATGAGTGTGGCAAAAAGCTGGAGTGCACCGCAAAATCAAGCAGAGTACGGCTGCATTAAAGAAATTAAAGTGCCTGACCAGCAAGTTTTTTTCTTTCGCTACGGAGTTGAGGCTTGGGCCCGGGCCCTGGAGTTGCTCCTGAACAGACTCCTTTCCGTCGATCCTCTTGGCCACTTTCAATGCCGCTCCCAACAACTTAACAACTTCTGCCCTGAGGAAAAGCGAGAAGAAAGGAGCACATGAACGGAGTCATATTTATGTTTTCGTAGCTCGCAGGCGGACTTCGAGTTCCAGGTTAGCGCTGAATGAGTTCGCAAGCTTCTTTATCTTACCCTGGATTTATTATACCTGAAAAGCAGGGTTTGTTGAATTTGTTGTTTCTTTTAAAAATATAAAAATTTGTAAAGCAAAATATTATATTTAAATTCAATAAAACTATAAAATATTTGCATTCACAACAAAAGGAAAACAACCAGCGAAAGGGCAAATAACTAAATGGAAAACTGAGGAATATAATTGCCAAAGAGGAGATTATATTCAATTCAGATTTTATATTTAAATGCATTATAAGTTTGACTTACAGTAAAGTATGTAAACAATTCATAACACCATTGTAAATAAGCAAAAATTACAGTTAAAGTTTTTTATATATGATGATTTTGGTCCAGCAATAAAAATAAAAATATATCCAAAAAAGTAAAATCCTATTTATTAGCCCACTTTTTCTATCGCCCTACTACTTATCTATATTTCATCACAAAAACTAAAATATGCACAAGAGAGCCAACAAGTATTTCCATAGCGGGTATCTGCAAGTCGGAAAACGCGGCAAAAAGCGCTCACATGCATTTTGCCCGTTGCCTTGCTTTTTGTCAATTCCGCATGCAAGACGTTTTCATTGCCAACTGCAGACTGGAATTACTCCTGCGGGGCGAATATAGCCGGGAATGTAGCTAGGAACGTGCACAAGGATCCGGGATCCGCCGGGATGGACGGATTCCAAATGCATCCTGCATGCGGCAGTGGGGAGCTGATAAAAGGAGCGATACAGGGGCAAACACGGAGCCCAAACAAAAACAAACAAGCCGCAGAAGAGATATTCAATGGAGCGGCGAAAGAGAAGAGGATGTGCGGCGGCGAGATAGGAACGTGACTCATAGGAAAACATAGCGAAAAACCACTAATATGCATATACCAAAATGCTAATATATATTTTTAAATAACAATTTAAAATGAGCATTAAAGTCCTTAATGTTCTCAATTATATTATTCTTTCCAATTTTAATTTTTGATTCCATTTATATTTTTTGTAAGCCCAAATTTATTTCAAAATTTATTTTTCAACATTATTCAAAATTAATATTATATATTTATTAAATTATTCGATTATTTAAACTTAAATATTTGTAGCCTAAGAATTTTGTGTTCAACTTATTGTAATATTAAAGTAATTAATTGGTTCTGGCATATAATGTTATGCCCTTTCAGTATGACTTTAAGGATACTCCCAGTGTAAGATTTCCCTGCTCTCACTTCACGCTTTCATCTCGAACTGCTGTTATCCGGCATGCGCCTCACATGAAAACTCGAGCAAGTCATCAGAATTCATAGTCTGGCTTTTTTGTATTTCTTGCAGAAATCTCCCCGCGTCGCCACTATTTTTCAGTGCTGCACGGTTGCAATTGCAAGTTGCTGCTGCGTCAAATGCAAAATGTGATTTAATGCCCTTTGGTGTCGCATGCTAATGAGGCAAGGAAAAGTTACTTCTTTCTGCCTGCGTTGGCAACTTTTCTCGGCACGTGCCTGGATCCGAGTCCGAATTTAGGTCCAACTTGGCTGGCAAATGCGGGTCACACTGCTGACTCTGAGCTAGGCACTGTGACGGGAATATATTTAAAATATGTACTAACATGCTAAATAGTTTCCCCTTCGATTTGAGTTATGAACCCGCCTCCATTTGCTAATTGTGTGGCCTGAAAACTGAAAAGTGGAGCCAAGTAGGGTCAGTGGAGTGGGGGGAAATGCGGAAAGGGGGAGAATTGCACTGGACGTGACTAGAAATGCTCATGGTGAAGTTGATTGGAGATATGTATATACAAATATGGGGTTTTCAGTAAAAAGTTAAATGTATGTGTATTTTCTCAAATAAGATATAAGAGAAAATACCTATCTGAAGGATATTATTTTTTCCTTTAATATTCTTTCTGCATAAAAATAACGTACAATCGCGACAATGTTGAAATGTCAGCTCTTTTCCGTTCACTAAAAAGCTCTTTCCTAAACACTTAAGCCACGCAGTTTACTACTTCCACAGAAGTTATCTTCCTCTTAGCCTCTTTTCCCAATTGTAACGAACTTTTCCTTTAATTGCTCCAACAGACTGGGAAAACTGTGCGGGAAAAACTGCCGCTTATCGTTTGATTTTCATTGCGAGTGCTCGGAACTTGGCCGTTGGAGTTTTAGTTTCAGCTAGGATTCCACCGCAGCGAACAATAAGAACGGTGCTTGAGATATCTGCAAGCTCAAACATTAAAGATGCACTGAAAATAAAAGGCAACTAAATATTAAATTAAAAGTGTTTTCTAAAAATGTATTTTTTTTGGGTTTTAAATAAAAATCATACACTCAGGGAAAAAATTGTTCTGATTGTGTCTGAAAACGTGTCTGTTTGAGTCTCAAAAATAGCTTTATACCGTTTGGTATCATTATAAGAATTTATGGTATTATTTTAAGAACGGATTTTTAAGACCGCTGTTCTTACTTTAAGAACGAAACGTACTTAAATTTATATTTATTTTTAGTAAAAAAATAATTTTGTTTGAATGCTCCTGTAAGCATTCTGCCATGGAAGGAAATAATAAGGCCATGGCCCAGGGGCCGAGGTGCTGGATTCTGGTATTATTTTGTGTTTGGGGGTACGAGGTTCAATTCCCGCTCACAACACAACTTATTTTTTTTTTTGTAATTAGTAAATTAACAACTTAACTTTTTTAATACATTTTTGTTCTTAAAGTTATAAAGGAAATGTTAATTGAAATACATTTGAAAAACTTTTTACTTACTTTGACTTATTCGGGTTTTGAACCGGGGTCCTCTCGCATCAGAGTCAGACGCCTTACCAACTGGGCCATCGCACCGTGTTACGCGCGCGTGCTTAAGTTCAACTTAAATCTAAATTTACTGGTCTTAAATCAATACCCTTTGGTATTAATATAAGAATGTGGTCTTAAAAAAATAAAAGAACAACACGGTAGTAATGTAAGAAATTCGGTCTTAGATTTTTTCGGTCTATTTTTTCTGGGTGTATCAGCACAAATTTTATTTTCTGCGATTTTATCTCCGTTTTTTCTCTGCGAAATTCCCCCGTTTCCACTTTTTAGAGTGGACCACAATTAAGCGCAGGCCAAGAGCAGCTCATTACAGGCGAAAGAGAAAAATGCGCCACTTGAAGGATTCTTTCAAACTTAACCGCCCACGCCCAGCCACTCCGATCCCGTCTAGATTAGGGGAGTTGTGGGGAGATAGGTTATAGAAGGGGGCGTGGCTGCTGTCTGTCCCCATTTGCTGACGCCCTGTCAAAGTTGCCTGCTCGGCTGACAAACATTGTCAACGCCCTTGGCCAACGTCATCATCAATGTCAGTGGCAACCTCCATTTCCCATTTTCCCCATCCCCTCTCGGGGGTTTCCAAGTCCCTCTCTCCCCCTGGAGACATCACTCAAGTTGAGCTGGAAGTTTTCCTTTTTTTGTTTGTGTGTTTGACAGTCGGGAGACCCGCGATTATTTTGCTCTCCCTCGGAGAAGAAGATGGCCATCAATTTCCATAAGTTGTCATAAAAGCGGAATGTTGCCACATCTCGTACTATATCTGTATGGGGTTTGATGGCCCATTAGGACAACCAGGCGACAGTTTTAATGGGATTTGATTTAAATTTTATGCGCATTTGTCATTAAATATTATTATTTTGCCAACCAGCTGGTGGCAAATATCGTAAATAAGCGTAACAAGTTGGGGAAATATTTCAAATATTATATTTACAGCCTGGGATACAACTTGTAACTTACAAGCACTTTAATTGTTTAGACCTACAAATTCTAAAGTGATGATAGAAATTTTTAAAAAGAAAAGTTTTATAGAAAAGTATCAACTTCTAAAAATGACCTCGAATCCCCGAAAAGTATAATATAAAAACTAATTTTACAATTGAAATTTCAATTTTTATAATATGTCTATTTTGAAAGTAAATGCAAATAAATGATACTAATTTGAAATTTTTGAATAAAACGTTTTTTATGAACAAATTTGTAATTTTGATAAATTGGGAAAATGGTCTCCAAAAACTGATATAGAAACGTTCTGGACCATGCGCGGATCCACGGTGGGTGATATGGGTGATATATCACCCCCCACTCGGGTGAAAAATGAAAGGAATTTGGTATTACAAAAGTATGCAACAAACAAATTGTTCTAATATCACCCCCCACAACAAAATCCTAGATCCGCCACTGTTCTGGACAAACTAAAGTGAGTAATCAATATTTATTAAACCTAACGATACTCAATCGACCCTATCTGTTACACTCGCAATTTTGTTATCGCTTCTACGCTTTTTCTACTAAAGTATCATTCTTTGTTCGAACGACTTATCATTGAAAGTGACTACCAAACGGTAATCGTCAAAAAATAGTTATCTTGACCGAAATAGTTTTAGTTATTTATTTCAATAATATACATTAATGTAAAAGATAATCTAATTTGAATGTATATAAAAACACAATTAAAAACTTTTCAAAAACTTTTAAAATAAAAAACTTATAAAATGGTTAATTGTTAAAAAAGAATCGTATCGCTTTCTTACTTAACTTAGTACCGTTGTAATAAAAGCACTGTCAAGAGACCGTTGTTTTACTGTTTACAAGACAAGAGACGAGTTCCGATTTACTGTTTAACAAAGGTTCAGCTAAGTTTTTCCCGGCAGTTGGTTTTCACTTGTTAAAACGAAAAGGTTGTCAAGCTAACAAAAATATCACCCTCAGTATGAGCGCCTCACAATGGTAAGATAATATAAATAGTAGATAATATTAGCTCAAAAATCATCTTAATCAAACTTATTCTCAGTTCGAGCCGAGGAACTAATCTACTGAAGTCCGGCCTCTTCTCAGATATATCAATCCATGTCGATAGCTTCGTTTTTAAATGCCACAAGATCATCTTAGCCTGTTTCTCGGAGTTTTTTGAGATATTATTTTAAAAAGAGGGGCTACAAACGGGAATTGTAACCTTAGAGGGCACAACGCCGGAAGTTTTTGAAATATTTCTGGATTTTATATATGCACCCGACAATGAGCGATTGGAATATACGGATCCGGAAGTATTGATGTCACTTTTGAAGTGTGCAAATATGTGGCTAGCCATCGAAGTTGAGGACAGATGCACCAAAATCCTTTTTAACTTAAGCGACGATATGGAAATAGATTTATTAATTAAACTTTATGGAGTATCGTACCAAATAGATCACAAACCATTAATGAAGAGTACCATGCAGGTATATCCTTCCTTTCCAAGCTAATACAATTTTGTTGTTATATAAATGTTATCTTTATAGATTCTGAAAACAGTTTGGCGCGACGAAATGGACTCTCCGTCCACAGATACAATGGAGATCGACTGTTTTGTGAACTATTTTAAAAACACGGAAAATATGATTTCTACACATAGACGTTTTATAATGATCGAAAATTGGATAAAGAGGAATGTTTTCGAAGGTGAATCCTCATCAAAAATGGATCAAATTAACGAAATTGTTAAAAGCATTGACTTTGAGGCAATGTCTTTGGACGAATTTTATAACGGTCCTGGAAAGTCAAGTGTTTTGTCTGATTCAGACAAGTTTAAAATATTGTATAAAATGGCCCGTTCAAGTTGTAAATGGACTTTCATAGTAGGTGAGACAAAGCAGGACAAGTATTCGCTGCTTAATTTTCTTCCTTATCAAGAAAGGGATTAAATCTATAATTTTATAAAGGACATGGTTAAGAACAGAGTCCAACAATAAACTGTCATATATTTCAACTTAAAGACGTATAGCATTGTTTTAATAAGTATTAAATGGGATCCGCCGCTTTACCAAGAGCCTCTCTTGTAAACTTGGGACTTATATAAGACCACATTTTTATCGATTTCTTAGTTTATATTGTACGCAGGTCAGATTAGATTAGAATTCCCGCTGTAAAACTTGCCTTTTGCACTGGCAAATAATATTAACTTGTATATAAGAGCTTGTCACTGGAATCAAATAATTGTATATTAATTACACAGATTGTTTCAATAGGTACTAAGTATTATCTATTTCTTATCATTTTAAGGCACTCACTTTATATTTTATACTCCCACCAAACTATAAATAGTTCAAAAAAATAGTAGAAATAGAATAAAATACAAATTTGTCATGAAATATTTTTTATAACAAAATATTAGATATTAAGTTTATCAGCTTCCGATTAATAATTTAAAGTTATGTTACCAAATAATTTTAATGTAACAATTGAAAATTTATCACGTTTGCTTTCAATCCCCTTCAATTATTATAAAATATTTATTTCCACCCCCGAGTATCGGAAATTAAGCCAATTTTAATTAGGATCCCCAATGCCTCTCTGACTCCACTCTACAGTCATTTACCCACTCAATGCTGCCTCTCAAAAATTATGCATTTAATATGTTCGCATTGCAAATTATAATATGCAAATTGATGTAGCCCATACACTCAAAAAAAAATTTTAGAAAATCGCCTATGGATTTGCTTTACTGGCGATTTTTTTCTATATTTCTGGAATATTTCTTGAATTTAATGAATTTTGATTAATTGGAAGAAAATTTTCTTTACCAGTAGAAAATTTTTTTATTTTAAAGAAAAAAATCGCCAGTGAAGCAAATCCATAGGCGATTTTCTAAAATTCAGGGCGATTCATTTTCTGAGTGTATTTAGGCTGCTCCCCTTCCACCTCCCAAAAGTCCCCTAACCTCCTTCGGCCATTCATATGGGAAGCACGTAATCGAAATGAGCAGTGAAAAGGCTTCCAATACATTGCCAGCTTAATTACGTTAATGTGCGGGAGGAAGCCAACAGCTTTAATGCCAATTTTAACTAATTACCCACTATAATTGCACATCTACACTCATAGAAATTTTTACCCTAAATCGCCCTAAAAAACTGACTTTTCGCCCGTGGATTTAGAAAATCGCCCATAAATCGTATCCGCTGGCGATTCGCCCGTGTATTTAGAAAAATTTTCTAAAAAATCCCGATGGAAATTTGGTTTAATTTAGGGTGATTTTTCTTGAAATAAGAAATATTTTCCTGTTTTTAGGGTGATTTGCCCTAATTTTAAGGTGTATTTTTCTAAAATTAAGGGCGAATTTTCTGTTTTTATAGGCAAATGCCCTAAAAAATTAGACAAATTAAAAATAATCGTGTTTGAGCATGCTTAACTGAATTTGGGAAGCATGTTTTTTTTTAATCGTCTATATTCTGGGAACTGGGACTGCTTTAATTAAACAACACCGGCAGAGGACACCGTTTCATATTATTGTATTGGTGTGTAGCTTATATGGGAGCCTCGTTAAGAGGGGGGCCCGATCTATACAGCACAGCCGTTAGAACTGAAAAATCATGTTTGTAAATGAATTAGGGAAATAAATATGAGGAGAAAAAACAACTTACTTTTTTTGGTCATTGCGAGAATCGAACCCACGACCTCTCGGTTTAGAGTCTAACGTCCTACCGCTGCACCACAGACCCATCGCGCAAGACGACGAACAAACTCTGCACACATCTTATTTTCTTGAGGTCTACGTTATAATATGACTAAAGGCAACTAAACCGTATATTTTTTTCCTGACGACTGTGACAATTAGTCCCGTTTTCTTGCCCGCAAACACAAAGTATGCTTTTAACTCAGAACTCCCATACGTTTTTAAGGTTTAAAGACTACTTTAATTTAAAATTCGGACGAAAAAATGTCCTCAGTATTATAATGTTTACAAAAAAAAAAAAAAAACATAAAAATCAAGTTGAATCACACAGGGTTCGAACCCACAACCCCACGACCTTAGTCCTCATATAGCAAAGTTGAAAGCGCAAGTGATTAGATCGCTGGGCTACCGAATTTCACACTTTTGGAGTGATTTTTAAGGCGAATCGCCCTTGTATTTAGACAAATTTTAGAAAAAAAATTAGGGCAATTCGCCGTTGGATTTAGAAAAGGTCAAAACGAAGCAAATCGAACAAAATCGCCCTAAATATTAGAAAAATAGAAAAATTAACCCTAAAAATATTTTTTTATGGTCACCTGCCTTAAATTTATGGCAAATTTGTCGTGAAAATAGAAAATTTTTCTCAGTTCAAAGGCGAAAAATTTTTTAGGGCGATTTTCTAAAATGTAAAAAATTATTTTTATGAGTGTACGAGGGGTGACATTCATAATAAATGTCGGGCAAGCCAAGCAATATTGATGGGCAAAACAAATCGGCAAAACAAAAAGGGCAAAGGAACAGGAATAAGGAAAATGTATCGCTAAGTGCGGAGAGAGGAGAAAGTGCATTGAGCTGTTCCAAGTATATTTTACGCAAGTATATCTGTCACAGCTTAAAATTAAATATGTCACCGAACCAAAACCACACGAACTCACACTTGAGGAAACTCACTTCTTCCTATTTGAGTTCTTCCACCGCTTCCAACATGGCAATTTTCAAGTGACAATTTCCAACAAACGCCAACAAACCAAAGCTTCTTTAACGCACTTGAAGAAATATATTTAATGTATACACAGTAAACTTCCTGATAAGTATTTAAGAAACTGTGCGATATACAAACTGATTTTGAAATTATTTGGAATATTTCTTTAAATTTACAGAAATGTATAATATCAAGACAATATAATTACACAAATTATTTTTGAGGGCAATCTAAAACTTCATAAGTTCTTAAGTGTATTCAGTGTATTCCGACAACCCACCAGACGAAAATGCTATGCAATTTGGTCCTTTGATACGCGAGACAGCCACACAAAGAATTGTGGACTTATGGGGCGGCGAAAGCGTGTTGAAAACGGGTGTTGTAAGGGTGACAGGATAGAAGGCAAGTGAAAATGAAAAGATAGAATCGAAAGGAATGTTAGCATTCGCACATATTTTTTACTTCGATATGTTCAAAATATCTTTAGAATAGTCTCCACGGCACTCAAATGAATGTCGTCGTAAGTAGTCGCCTGTCACGGAATTTGAGAATAGCGATGAGCGGAAAAACGGTGACTGCGAAATGGTGACTTGGTGATAACTGAAGTTAAATGCAATCAAATCTAAAAAATGTCACGGATTTTAAATTATAAATAAAATGTAATAGACTTAATTTTAATAAAGTAAAATAAATTTAAATCAATGATTAAATCTAGCTAATAATAATATGTAATTTTTTAAAAATGTGTCTGTATTTTAAATGTTTTTATATATTATACTTTAATTGATGTATTATTTTTTTACTTTTTCCATTGTCTAATACCAAAGTTTGAGCAGAATTATATTTTTTTGCTTTTAAGTTACTGTACTTATAAGTACTGATTAATTGTTAAATGTTTATGATGCGGTTAACGACCAATGCTGTAGAATATATTTAAACTTTATTTTCGTTTTCTCTGACAGATAGAAAGAACACAAAACTCCCGCTGATAAAGTCACATCCGCGCAAATCCCCACAGAAGTGATTAGCTTTCAGTTCCTTAGTGAAATATAATGCATTTTATTGTGAGTAACTCAATTTCTCAGTTAGTCCATCACTTGCCCGGACACTTTCATCTTTTGAATGTCGCTGGTAATGATGATGACTGACACTGTCGATGATGATGATTGTGCGATGACGATGATGAATCGCTGGCGTGACAAGCCCTCTAACCCATTTCCCATTCCTCGCAGCAATTTCAATTTCGCCTGACATATAAATAACTTTGAATTTAAAAAGAAATATTCTCAATATTTGTTTGGTTGGAGGGAAACTGGGTAAACATGTCTGTTGTGTAATGTGCATTACATTTGGCTGCTGATGACTTCGATCGGAAGGAATTTTCTTGAAAAAAGTGGGAGCTGATGGCAAAATGGGCGGCTAAGTTAGTTGAGTTTATTTTGATTGATTTCAGTTTGCCATTTGGGAATTTATGGCCCTGTTTGGTATTTGTCTGTTCAATGAGCACTTATTGATGGGCCATTATAGGGTTATGGCGAAAGGAGAATAACTTGATTGCCAAACAGCCTTGGAGATGATAGTTCTGAATTCAAAATGGATATGAAAATAGGTCAACATGATAGGAATGCAATGTTAACTGGAGAAAATGTTGAGTTTTCGTTGTTTAAGAAAGGGTAAACACATTATAATTTAACTACTCTCTACAAAAAAACATAAAAATACGCGAAATTAAAAAAACAAATAAAACTTTATTTAAGCTTGAATACAAACTGCAAAAGAAATTGTAAACCAAAATAAAAACGACCAAAACAATCCATTTTAAAAATATCTATAGCATGTTAATGAATCAGTTCATCTACTTAATGTATCGTTATATCGATTTAATGTTATAGTTATTCTCCGTTGAATTAATGATTTGTAATCCCACTCCTTAAATGATTGTTTAAGTACACCCTACTCATACCCCAACTCAATCAGAAAATGTAAAACGTTTATCAAAATTGCAGCAAGGCAATCTCTGGCCCTTGAAACTCCTTCCCCTTCAGCCATCCATCTCTATCGCCTGTCATTAAATTATGCATTTGCGCAATCACTTCCTAAAATATGCAAAGGATGTTGCAGGCGGTGGGCGGGGCAGCAGCAGGACATTCAGCACGTTCCAAGCCTCATTGCGATGTGGCAAGTTTCCGCGAATTTCCCCGCTTCTCTCTTGGGTGAAAGTTTGCCAAGGAGCTGGCTGCGCTTGATTTGCGCTCATAGTTTTCCTTCAGCCA